CAAAATATGTTTGTAAATAGGTAAATATGTGTACAAATGTATATATATATATATATATAAATACGTATGCAAAATTAACATATATATATATATATATATGTGTGTGTGTGTGTGTGTGTGTAGTTGGGCCGGTTCGGGCTACCTAAGGGCTAGGCATGGACTTAGCCCGAAAAAGCTCGATTTCTTGGGATCGAGCCCAGACTGAGGATCGGGGATCCAATCCTAGCCCATGTAAAATTTTGGGCTGGGCTGGTTCAGGCTCGGGTTGATCTCGCCCAAGTTGCACCCCTAGCTCCATCGACGAGGCGACGTGATCCCAGAGGATTCGGAGACAATAGCCCACTCATGATGGGGGTCAGCTACCATGTTCTATAGGTCCCTAACTCAATCATGCGATGGCCGACCAGGTCCTGCGATAGGTGACCTGGTCCTGCGATGGGCGACCTGGTCCTATGCTGGCTGACCTGCTCATGCGATAGGTGACCTGGTCCTACGATGGGTGACCTGGTCCTGCGATGGGCGATTTGGTCCTTTAATGGCCGACCTAGTCTTGAGATGGCTGACCTGGTCCTAAGATGGTCGACCTGGTCTTGAACCAAGGTGCCTATGTGACGTTGTGGTGTTAAGCAACGGTTCAGGGATACCACGTAGCACAATGTCACTAGAGGGCCAAATTGCCCCCCCACTCTCGAGTCAAGGTCGACTTGGTGAAGGGAGTAGTTCCTTGTAGGCCTCTGGTCCAAAGTGACTTAGTTCAGCTGGTTCGTTGGTGTTAGCCTGATTTGTTCGCCCAAACTGGAAGCGTCTAAGGGATGAATGCGGCATTGCGCAACACATCTCCATCTTGACCACCGGGGCATAGGAGCGAACTTGTCAGCACGAGGTAGAGCGAGCACGTTGAGGACATTCGGCGAGCTATGGATGTAGTCATCAAGGAGTTTCCTTGTTTGCTCGAGCACCTCAAGAGCAAAGTTTGTCATGCTCGCCATGAAGAAGGGCTTCAAATTGTGCCACTGCTTCCTTAGGTTGCTCCATTCACAGGCTTCTATGCAATATCCCTCAAACCAGTCCTCGAGGGTGTGGCCGACAAGGTCGGTGTGAAGCCCGAAACCGAGGTGGAGGATAGTGAAGAGGGCAACGAGAATGATACCAATGAGGGTGTTGTTGACAAGGACAAGGACGATATTGCATGTTTGAGCGAGCCGAGGTGCACTAAGCATTGGTCGGTCATCTCGTGTTTTGAATAGGTCGGCTTGAGGGAGCCTTAGTGCTAAACGCAGTTTGGCTTCCCATTCATAGATTTTTGTCGAAGTGCATGTATTGTGAGTCGGCACGTCTAGGTTGACAAAGTGGGTCTCAGTCAGGTCGCTAAAATTTTAACAAGCTAGTTCGCTCTTAGCACCTCAGCCTATAGACACCTCGTCACCTCGGCAGGGCAGGCCTGCGATGGCGGCTCCGCAATTTGTTGGCATTAACTCCAATGGGAACCATGGAGGGATCGACCTACGAGGTGGCCTCATAGTCTATTGGCTGCCAACTCTTGCATGGAGCATCGGGAGCTTAACTCGTGGGGGCAACCTCACAAACAGGGCTGTGAGATTATGTCTATGCGAAACCGTTGGAACTTGTTCGGGTTGATTATTCTGATTCTGCCCCCTTGCGGGGGTTCCTTCAATCTAGGCATTGTTGTTGTTGCTTAAGGATGCCATTACTTGAGGCTCCGAAAACGGGTGGTAACTCAGCTTTTACGTAGTCTGTTCCTACAGATGGCGCCAATTGATGTTACACAATCTCGTGCTCCCTGTTGGTGAACAGCTCGGATGTCAGAATTAGTAGGTTGCCTAGTCGAGCAGCAAAAGAGAGAAATTAGAGTGTCCGGGTTGCTTTACCCAGGGTGGGCACTCTGATGCGTAAGTGAGCGAACTGGGAATGCAATTGCAAGAATGCTAGAGAGCTAGAATGTGTAAGAGCTAAATCGCACATACCTTTATGAGGAAGGGGACACCTTTATATTGGCTAACTGTCGTGAGCTCCACGAAACGCATCCGAGATCTTCGGCCCGTCTGATTTAGAGGCGGTTTTGTGCCCGTAGATGGACTTCGCATAAGCGGGAAGTGCTTATCCGATCATGCCCGAGGTGGGCGGGGTGGAAGTTAGCTCTGTTGACGGGGCAACATGATCCCGAAGGATTTGGAGACGATAGCCCACTCATGATGGGGGTCAGCCACCACGTCATACAGGTCACCAAGTGTGCTTCAACTAGGTTGATAGAGAGAGGTCTCTCCTCATGCTGAGGTCCCTAGCTCAATCCTATGATGGCCAACCTGGTCCTACGATAGGTGACCTGGTCTTGCGATGAACGACCTGATCCTGCAATGGTTGACCTGATCCTGAGATGGCCATATTGGTCCTAAAATTGCCAACCTGGTCTTGAGCCGAGGTGCCTACATAGCGTAGAGGTATTAAGCAATAGTTCAGGGCTGCCACGTGACGCAATGTCACTGGAGGGCCAAATTGCAACTCATCACTCCGAATCCTTGAATCGTCCATGTCAAACCTTAACCGCTCTAAGTATAACCAAATTTAATGCTTCCATAATATACTAATTATGATATTCAATGATTTTATGGTGATTAAAAATAATTGTTATTTATGAACATATATAATAGTGGTTATCACAACGTTGTTAAGAGCCTGGTATAGAAAGCTCTTACTTATGTATAAAGTATATTTTATGAAATATGAACCACTGAAAAATGAAGAAAGTATGTAATTTCTTTTACATAAGATTGATTGAAATCTTAATTTAAGGTATAATTAATATTAATGGATGCATTGTGTTGGGGTTTATAATATTTGATAACTACTAAAATATTTTGGCTTGTGTTTCGTTTTCCCTACCTTTTCTTAACCAAATAGAGTGCAATAAACGGGAGCGATTAATCACAGAATTAATGCTGGGGTTTGATTGATATGTTATTTTTTAAATACCTATTTTACCATTTTGCATATGATCCGTATTGCTTTGGGATCTAAGGCCAAGTCCTTGACCTTGACGACATGAATGAAACCAGCAGAAACTAACAACGGCTCTGGTGACCGGAGAAGAAAATGTTGGTTCCAAATGAAAAAACCCAACGCCAACAAAACTATCCTTGTTGATGCTCCGACGAAGCAACCAACGTTAAAGTCATTAGGCTGGTTATGGATTCTTTAATTGCGTAATTTCACTTCTCTATTTCGTTCTTAATTCTTTCCCAGTCCCAGACCGTTAATTCCTCAATGTTGCTTTCTGTAAAAGCCCATTTCCCTACTCCCACCTTGATTTGAAACCGTTTTATTTGCTTCTAAGGATTCCCTCAGGAGTTGCATTATTTGTTTTTAATTCTCAGATCATGGGTTGCATACATGGTAAGTGTTGTAATCGCTATCCATCCTCCTTTAATGGAGATATCCCATACATGCAAGAAGTTGGCCCGTGTTATAGCAACAACCTCCATGTTCATGGTAATCATGGAGATGCATTGACTAAGAACTCATTGGAGTTCGCCCTCGTTCCTTCTTCCCACAAGTTCTGTTTGGGGTATTTAGTCCTCATTAAATTAGTAGTCCAAGAGTTTCTGTTCTAGAAAAGAAGCCGATCGTCGGAAACTCCAGTGTAAGGTCCCTGATCGAGCGGGTCAAAGGCAACACGTTTTCTGGACCTTGAACTTAAAACTTAATCTCGGCTTTCTGCAAAAGATTTTGAGTGTCCCTCTCGATTGGAACCTTTGACCATGGAGGCACATCAATCTTGTGAGCGACAAAATCAGGGGAGCCGAAGATGGCACTGTGCTTAAAAGGGTCGATCCCACAATAGAGAGCCAACAGGAGGAATATCCCTGTGAAAACTCCGATCAACGTCATTGCAGAAAATTTGATTCAGGCGATAATTTGCGACGATAGAGAGGCAATTGGGGTTTTATGGGTCGACAAAGAAATCTATTGTTTTTCTTTTTTGTTAGTTGGTTGGATGGATGTTGGTGTTCTACTTGAAGAGATAAGCGATGAGGAGAAAGTAGACCACCAGAGTTGCATCAGTCAAAAGAAGAGGAAGGGAAAACAGAGAGAAGAAGAAACAAAAGATGGGGAAGAAGTGAATGAGAGGGAGAGAAAAAAAAACAAATAAAAAGGAGAGAGAGGCGGAGATAAAGAGGGAGAAAATAATAGAATGAGAGAGCTTCAAGGAGGTCGTTGCTGCTAGTTGCCGAAACTTTGTTCGCTGTTGTTGTGAAGAAGATGAATAATGCTTTTTGGGTGCTTCGGCTCGATGGAATAGAGTGGGAACGAAGAAGAGAGAGAGAAAGAAGAAATCAAGGAGAAATTGAGGGATGAACAATTAATCAGGGGCAATTTTATAATTTTATCAATTTCCGTTTGAATAGTGATGGAAGGAAAGTTTTTGTCGAGTTCTTTAAAGTTTAAGGAAGGTTTTTATTAAAACAAAACTACAAAGGAGGTATCTATGATTGTTAGAAATTTTAGGAGATGATTTTGCATTTTACCCAAAATATTATTATGTATCGGTTTTAAATTAGCTACAAGATCGTACTTTTCTTTGTTAAGTAAAAGGATAATGCCTTTCTTTACATATAAGCATTGGTACGCATTGGTACAACAACATGTTCTAAGGCTTTGATCGGGTTTTTTGAAGTTATTATTCATATTTTTTTTATTTTTCATATAAATAAGGTAATGACCATTTTATTTCTAAAAATGTATTTTTATCCCATTCATATATCGACAACTTTATTTATAGGTGTAAAAATTATTTATTCACCTAAGAGATTCCCATAAAAATAAATCCCAATTTTCTCTTCTCAAAACCCAAAAATAGAACGCCCCCTTCAGAAGTTTCTATAGTGAGGTCGATTGCGGAGGAAAAATAAAAAACAAATCTATCATGCAGCACGCTGGAAGAATAAAAAACAACTTGTCATTTATTTTGATCGTAAAAAGTATACAGTTTCTTTCCCGCTGGGAAAAAAATATAAAAACGATACACATGCACCTCGAAATACCGTTCCAGAATGGGGCTTGGCTATGCTTCAATGCAGACGGCATATAAACACTGCGATGCCGAACACCATCATAAATTCATATTTTTCATGATCCCAATTCCAACGTTCCTACGTAAAAAATATGGGGTCGAGTATCGTGCAGCGTGGAGGCGCTGAGAGGTTCGTTAACGCGGTGCGACAGCTTGAAACACCACTTAATTGGTAGCTTGCCAAATAACAAATAGATCCCAGTTGTTTCATCTTAAGGTTTCAATCCATATTGGCTCTGTCTTGCATAATACCACTTTTTCAGATATCTTCTTCTGCTTGTCAAAATGTTCAAATTCTTGAGGGGTGTTGTTGCCGGATCTGGGACGGGGATAAAGGATCTACCTTATTACATCGGAGAGCCATACTCTACCGCTTGGGGTTCATGGACTCACTATCGCGGCACTTCTAAGGTAAGTTGTCAATCTTTTTGAATCGTTTCTCGTTTCTTGTGGTTAAAGAGTTGAAATAAATTTCGGATCTCGTTTTCTTTATTTCTTTTTCTCTTTTTTTTTTCTCATTTCTTGATTAATTGTTGGAATGCTCACCCGAGATCGTTTTATCACAATCATGGCTAATTAGATTCGACATCGTCCAAAAGAGAAGGAAAAAGAAAAAAGAAAAATTCTCACGTGAAGGTGGTTGGTATTGAAGGTGCTGATATTGGTATATTGGTATTTAATTACTTGTCATTCACCTACATGTAGTTAATATAGTTAATATGCCACTGCAAATTTTGCTTAAGGGGGGGAGGTCCACTACCTCTCATGTTTCCATTTTGGGAAGGGGTTATAAGGATTTCTTTAATCTCCGTATCTTTCCTTTGGTCACATCATTGTAAAACTAGTTGGAAGGTCCATGTAACCTTCTCTTTCAAATCTCCATTCAAAAAATCATTCTTTACATAAAGTTGGAAGAGGAGCCAAGAGTAAGAAGCTGCTAGAGACAAAATGATCCGAATTGAATTCATCTTGGTCATCGATGCAAAAGTTTCCATGTAGTCTATCCCGCAAGTCTGATTGTACTCTTTTGCAATCAGCTTTGTCTTGTACCTTTTTATGCTTCCATCAGCTCTGTACTTCGTAGTATAAATCCATCTGCAACCAATTGTTTCCTTTCCATTTAGGTAGGTTCGTAATTTTCCATGTTTGGTTTCTAATCAAGGCTTCAATTTCCTACTACATAGTTGTCTTTCACTAAGGTTTGGAGAGAGCTTCACTAACAATCCTGAGTATAGACACAAAATCAAGAGAAGCAAGGAATGCCCGGTAGGAGGGAGATAACCCATTGTAGAAAAGATGATGTGAGATACAATGGGAAGTGCACTTTCTATTCCCCTTTTGGAGTGCAATAGGAAGGTCTAGGTCATATGTAGTGGTGTCAGGTATAGATGTAATATCAACAAGAACCAAAACATTAGAGGGAACAAAATGCATACCTGGGTCTGTGTCAGTTGAACTTGGAATCTCAAATGAGATGATGAGAAATGGTGTGGGTTCCTGTGCTATGAAATCAACCTCCCAGGGCTTCCATAGGCGTTGCCGTGTAAAAAATTGAGAAACAAGACGTAATGAAGTAGGCAAAGTAGGTGGAATAATTGGGTTAGACATTGGAGTAGGTAAAGGATATGGAACAAGAAGCTCTATAGGTTATTCATTTCCTTCCCCAAAACACTCCCCTTGAGAAAGGCTCTTTGAAAAGAAAGATGTAGACTCAAAAAAGGTGACATCCGTGGTAGCATACCGACTCCTTGGCATAGGATCATAACAACAATACCCCTTTTGAGTTTTTGCATGCCCAAGGAATACACACTTCTTTGCCTTAGGGTCTAGTTTTGAGCGGTGAGGTCCAAGGATATGGACAAAGCATACACATCCAAACACCCTCAATGGAATATGAAACATCTCTCCCTCAGGAGAAAGAAGACTGAACGGAGCGGCGTATCCAAGAACACGAGAGGGTACCTGATTAATCAAGAAGATTGTTGCGAAAATTGCATTACCCTAAAATCGAATTGGAACTGTGGAACTCACCATCATATTTCTTGCCACTTACACAATATGTCTATTCTTCCTTTTTGGTACACCGTTTTGTTGTGGAGTATATGAACAACTACTCTGATGAACTACTCCATGCACTAAGAAATATGATGCAAGGTTGGTCTTGAAAAATTCACTAGCATTATCTGATCTGAACACCTTTAGACATATTCCAAACTGCGTTGGCACCATTTGGTGGAACTGTTGTACCAAGGAAGGTACCTCATCATGAGATCTCATCAAGTATACCCAAGAGTACCGTGAATAGTCATCCATAAATAGTAGAAAGTAACGGTAGCCACTCAAAGAAGGAAGATGATATGGTCTCCAAACATCAACATGAGCAATATCAAAAACTGAGGAACATCTTTTATTACTTAACTTAAATGAATGTCTATAATGTTTTCCAAGTTGGCAACCTTCACACTCCAAATTGGACAACTTAATAGACTCAAACAATTTTGGAAAAAAAAACGCAAAGAACCAAATGACAAATGTCCTAATTGATTATGCAAAGCATAATCTAACTCACTTACTTTGATTCATTACTCTTGTTGTTGACATAATGACTCTGATGATTGGAAAGCACATTGAGAAAATAGACTCCATTCACCTCAAGAGTCTCAATCGTCTTTTTTGACTCCAAATCCTATAAAACACAATGGCTAGGAGAAAAAAATTACTGAATAATTCAATTTTTTTGTCAAACAGCTCATAGATAAAAGGTTAGTACTCAATTTAGGAACGGTCAATACAAAAGGCAGGGTAATGGTATCAATTATTTTGACAGACTCCTTCCCAGCAATAGGAACATGGGAGCCATCAACTGTGGACACTTTATCTCTACCAGAGTAGAGGTGGTATGAGGAGAAAATGGTGAAAATATTGGTCATATGTTTTGAGTCTCTTGAGTCTATAATCTAGGGAGGTCCCCCTTACGTGTAGTGGAGGCATAATTTGCAATGGCATATGAACTACTTGTATGTGCAAATAAAGTAGAATGACTAGCTTTTGGGTCACTTGCACCTTGCTCGACCTCGAACCGGCCTTGAACTGACTCTACCCAATCTGTTACAAGGTGTTGGGTTTGGTTCTAAATTCTTGGAACCGGCTCCCACCCAAGTCGGTTCTAGGGTCTTGGGGTTTACTCTACCCGAACTGACCTTGGAACCAAACTTGCCTTGAAATAAACCTTAAATATTCGTAAGGATGTGAAGATTTAAACCCAAGCACTCATAATTACAAAAGCCATGGTCTCACTTTACCAAGTCGGTTCCAGGGCCTAGGGGTTTACCCTACCCGAACCGACCTTGGTTGACCTTGGTGGAACTGGCCTTGGAACCAAACTTGGCTTGAAATAAACCTTAAATATTCTTAAGGATGTGAAGATTTAAACCCAAGCACTCATGAAATAAACCTTAAATATACTTAAGTGATTTGATCATTTGTTTTCATTTTAATATTTGAATGTGTATAATAAATAATGTAAAGGTAATATTTACAAAATATAAATTATGACACATTTTGAACCTATATTAGTATATTATGATAATCTACATATTAAATTACTTAATTTAATTAATAAAGATAATATAAGTTTTAAATTATATGTTATCATTATTGAAAATCAAGTTTTTAAAAGACATGTTTAATTTTTGTTGAAGGGTCAATTCCACGAGTAGACACTGGAACCGACTTTGGAACTGCCAAGGTCAGAACCAACCCTAGAAATGACCTTCACAAGGTAGGCTATGGTTCTAAAAAAACTTGGAATCGACCCCTATAGAGCAGGTTCTAGGTTTTGCCATGAACCTAGAACCTGCCTAATGGAACCTAGAAATGACCTTCACCCCTATTGCCTACCATTTGATGTAAAGAATGCTTTTCCTAATGGAGATTTGCAGGAGGAGGTTTACTTGGACCTTCCAGCTAGTTTTTACAGTGATGTGACTAAAGGAAAGGTATGCAGGTTGAAGAAGTCCTTATATGGTTTGAAACAATCACCCAGAGCTTGGTTTGATAGGTTTAGGAGTGCATTTATTGTGTTTGGTTATGCTCAAACCCAGTCTGGTCATACTTTGTTTGTGAAGAGAAGGGGATCATTGGTGTCAATGTTGATAATGACTTGAGTGAGATTGGTGCATTGAAGGAAAACTTTCACTGGGAGTTTGAGATTAAAGATCTTGGGGACCTAAAGTATTTTTTGGGCATTGAGGTGGCAAGGTCCAAACATGGGATCTTCATTTTCTAGAGGAAGTATGTGTTAGACCTACTATGTGTTGATTATAATTGTATGTATTTTTATTCTTAAGCAAATCTTTTTCTTCTTAATGGATGTTCATTAATTAATGTTAAAATTGATTATTAAAATTTATATAATAATAAAATATTAATATAAATTATATTGATTTTCTGAAAATTAATATACATTTTACTTTTCCATTATCTTCAACAATTACCAATTTGTCCCTATGTCTCAAATTTTATATAAACTATTGAGGTTTGGGTTTGTATGTTTAAATAACTTGTTTTCTCTATAAGTGTCTAAATAACATATTTAAGGCCATATAAAATAAGCGTATCCCGAAACGTCTCTTAAAATTGTCTTTTCGATACACCTTACGTTTTCGATACTTTGAACCTTGATCCAAACAGAGGGATATTGTTTGCTCACCATGGACATTTGAAGTTGAAAGTTTATACAAATGTTGATTGGGCAAGGTGCCTAGATGACAAGAGACCTACATCAGGAGTGTGCACTCTTGTTGGAGGTAATATGATTTCATGGAAGAATAAGAAGCAATCAGTTGTAGCCAAGTTAAGTGCAGAAGCTGAATATAGAGCTTTGACACATGGTGTTTTAGAGCTTTTATGGGTTTGGTCCTTATTAGGAGAGATTGGAGTTGATGTAGAAGAACCTATAATGTTGTACTGTGATAATCAAACAGCAATTAACCTTGTTAATAACCCAGTTCAGCATGGTAGAACAAAGCATATAGAAATAGACAGACATTTCATAAGAGAAAGGGTGACACCTGGAGAAGTGTGCCTACCATATGTTGCATCTAATTTATAGCTAGCTGATGTTCTCACAAAAGGAGTTGCAAGAAATAAGCTTGAACATGATCTACACAAGTTAGGAATGTGTGACATGTACTCCCAACTTGAGAGGGAGTGTTGAGATTTAACAGTTTCTTATGATTTTCTTATTTATAACCATTAGTTAGTGTTATTGGGCCCAAGGCCCATTAGTTTATGTTGTTTTTTGAGCTGTTTTTATGTTATGTACAATAGCCACCCCATTAAGGACATATTAGTCTTTGTAATCAATCTTTTTTATGAGTATATAAGATAATGAGTGGAGCAGCCAAGTC